AGAGAGAGAGAGAGAGAGAGAGAGCAGTGATGTTGAAAACACTACAGCTGCATGGAATGTGAAATCTATTTATAAAGTTACAGTGAGGAAAATATCAAAAGAAATTTGCACAAATTTGATGAACTAAATGAATTATAACGAGCAATTGTAGAATATCACAAATAGAAATGATAATGAAAATTGGAAGAAAACAAAAATTGGTAAATGTCCAAATGTTAACCTTGCGAGGAATGTTATTAATAGCCTCTATGTGATTCTGGGCATCTTTCAATAACCATATCCCTAAATGAAACTGGCCCTCCTTTCCAATATCCAGACAGTCCTCCATGGCTCCTAAAGCAAGAAGAACTGATTCGAGAGCATAGCGCATCTGCATAAGCTCAATATCTTGCATCCTAGTAAAAGTCATTTCAATTAATTTTTAAGTCGACAGCATAATCAAATACAAAAATAAAAAATATCAAAATAAGTTACAAACCTCTTCCATGCTTCAGCTGTAGAAGCAATTGGCTGCAAGCTAAGGAGCTCAATTGCATCTTGAAACTTTATTTCAGGAACTACATCAAACAGAACCTACAAAGGTTTCACTAATCAATATGATTCTTAAACATATAAATAATTTAAAGTGAAAAAGAATCAACTTTGTTGCCAGCATATGCGACAAGATTCTTCACAAAAAGATGAAAAAAATCAATAAAATAATTGCTGATCATATGGTACTGAAATAGAGTGGAATTTTAAAAATAGAAAGAACACAAAGTAAAGATTACCAATCAGAAAGTTCTAGGAATAATTAAATGTGTTGGTTTCTCATACAAATTTCTTTTGGTGAAAGAGAACTAGCAGCAAATTAATAATGAGAAGCTTGAAATACCATCATTATTAAAGTTCAAAGAGGACAACCTCATTTAGCATCTGATTCGTTTCTGTAACTAACAAATGCGTGTGCAGCATACAAGCGTGACACCTATTAAGTCTTAACCTACTAAGAACTCAAACGTACAAAGGGACATTTATTTTTGTTTAAACTATACTCATGGCCTTCAAGAGAAAAGACTCAAGCCAAAGTTAAACTACCAGTGATAATCGATATAAAAAAAATCAATTATTATTAGTAAGATAATTACTTTGATAACAATAAAATGAGAAACCTCATGAGTCCACTAATTTAGAATAAGGATAATTATATAATTAGCAATAAATTGTACAACACTCACTAAATCTGAAAGACTTTCCAAACTTGATTATATCCTACACTAGCACTCAACCTCAAGAAGGGGCATATATATTAACTATACCATTTTACCGTGTAGGTTTCAAAAATGGAGGAAACAGCGATCACCAATAAAGCTAACAGGTAGTGGTTCTTCACTAGCAACTTGAGTAATGATCTTATATGACAGACCAACATTCTTGATAAAATAAAAGTGAACTTCGAATTGTTCAGTCCTTTTTATGGAACATAAAGCTACTACATAAGTGGTTAAGTATCAAAGCATAAAAATATGAGCTGAATAAGAAGAAAATCAAACTTTCAAGAAAAGTTTTACAAACATCATTGCTCAAACAAAGTTAAGCATAGCCATATATTTCACTTCAACATTGGATCTTGCCATAATCATTTGCTTCTTACTCCAGATCACAAGATTGGTATTGTATCCAAAAGTTAATTTTTTATCTATACTGAACATAACTTATCAATATCAACAAAAACTTAAACTCTTAAGTGATTATTACTATGAAAGAGTATTTCTTTTCCATGAGATTTCTTGACACCCTTTAAAATCGTCATGATCACCTTCCAATATTTCTTTGTCAAATTTTGCAATATTAACTAACCACACCAACAACAAAATATATATCAAATCTAGTGACAGTCAGATAAGAATACCAACCATGCGTTGACAGAGAGAAGCATTTTTTTTTTCCGTCATTATGAAATGTCTGAAGAGTATCCAAAGTAGTGTCAGCAAGCGTGTGCCCCAGAAGACTATTCTTCAACAAAATTTATAGTTTTTTCTTTTTTTTTTTTTTTGAAGAAACCCTTTCTCCGAAAAAAAAGTCAAATATTTTGGGCATAATGAATCTTTGACTGGATCTTTGATTACAAGCATCTTTTGAATATAATACTTTATCTTAGCATCGCACAAAGTGTCACTTTCTATGATAAGAATATTTTTAACGAACAAGAATCACAATGTTAGAGAGTATCAAACAAAGAAAAAAAGATCAATGGTACTACTTTGTAGTTCATTCATTAGAAACCTGCAGCGTGTGTAGAATGATGCGCAAGATATTTGATTTAAAACAAATATAAGCTTTATAAAGCTTGCATAATTACCCAAAAGCTTACTTGATACAAAACAACTTCGTTTCCCATAAAGTGAAGCATGATTCTAATTTATCCTTGAAAGCTTTACCACACATGCAACTTAACAATCTCATATATCCTACACTACACGGAAATAAAAGGCCATAGCTTAATAATAAGATCCATATAAAATCATTAACCTAATTTCAATTCTGTAAAATGTACATTAAACCTCCATGAGATCATCTTATCACACAAATCTCCATAGCACTTCATCAATTAAACTATCCACTCTTAATTCCAGAAGTAACAGCAAATACAAGATACCTAATCAAATCAATTTTAGATTTCATATCTTCTAATATTATTGAAGAATAATTGTTAATAAGAGTTAAGTACAAAAATGGTCCATAATTTACATGAGGCCAATCAGCTACAAAGTCTATAAAAGTGTCAAACTAGCCCAAAATATATAAAAATGTCAAAACTAGCCCGAGTCTTTTAATGGGATCTAAAATACTCTTCTTATTAAAGAGTATGTGGCTATCTCAACATTTATTAAATAACTCCCCCAAGTAAATCGGCATTTCTATAGAATTCAGAACAAGAATGGCCCCCTGCAAAGAGTTAGGGATCCATTTTGACATTTTATTTGTACTAATAGCATCCTCACTAAAATCATATCATATAACAATTCTTGCTCTACTAACTCTAATGGCTTTATCTTCTATAATTTTCCTGTATTGTTTTATTTTTTTAGCCCATTTCAATAAATGTTTCGCCAATTAAAACCATACCTAAAACATAAAATAGAGTAACATTCATTTGAATATCATGTGTAAGCAATGTCATAAACTAACATAAAAGGATATAGATTTAATGTTAATATTTGATATAAATGCTAATTAAAATTTTTTGGGACATTTCACAATTATTTTTAATACTAGTTCATGCACCGTATGCATATTCTTAGTAATGTCAATCTGTTTTTTACATGTACTATCTGCCATAAAGGATACTAAGATAATCTCTTTGATATTCAAGCACATGTCAACTCAAGATCAGTAAAAATTATATTTATAATAGAACTTTTAGCATTGAACCATATTGATTCTCCATTTTAAAAAAAGTTTTCTAAGCTTATCATTCTAGACTTTCTAAGACACTTATCATTCTCGGTCACATTTGCTTTATTTCCCCTTTTTTAGATTAAAACTACTGAAAGTAAGGATAATCTCAACCTTATCTTTGGGATTATTTTCCTTTACAAATAGAATAACTTGTATGGACTTTCAAATTGATTAATAAATAAATAAATAATTTCAAGAGATTGGCCATGATTGTTTATTTCTTCCAACAAAGACTAAAATTATGTATGTTGATTGCTTTGAGTTACAAACACTAACTTTCCTTTATTGTTTTCTTCTCATCTTACTCCAAAAATTTAAACAATCCTTTAATCTCCCCAAGATAGATTGCACGGTTTTCAAAAGTCTCGTATGATGCACTTTCACATTTTTCAATGTATTATGATTAATTTTAAAATTGTTTTATGATGCATGCATGCATGCCTTAAAAAATCTCAAGCATTTTGATTGTTTGGATGAAAGTACTATCAGTAAAACAAATAGTATTTCATTTTAAATCATTTCCTCATTATGTATATACACATGCATATGTAGAGGAACCAACTACAGATTTTATGAGTAGAAATCATCTTACACATTTCAATTCGCAAACCAATCCATTATTATATGGAGTAAATTTTTAGTTATGCCCCAAAGAGGAATCATTTCTTCTCCTCTAAATAGGGGGGTGGAGGGGGTTCTTAGCTGATATTCACCATTCAAAATTTTCATTCATTTTGTAGGGGTTCTAAGCGTTCAAAAGAGTTCTAAAGGTGTTGTTATATATGTGCTCATCTACAAGCCATAGATTCATAGCAAGTTCCTTATATACCATTGTATTCGTGTTCAAATCTTATTCCAACATTGCTTATATGACAAACAATATTTAAATTTTGCTCTTAAATAAAAATTTTATTCTTTAAATTAACCTATCCAACACACTTCAAAGGTGAGTGTGGTCAATGTCCAAATACATTGTAATTAAACGGGTTTCAAACCTATAGTGCTTAAAAAAAACAAATGCATAGATCTTCATTACTTTCACACAAAAAATACGAAAGGCACAAAATTTCCCGTGTCAGGATAATATGCATGAGTATTTATTCTTTTGTTTGCTCACTGTCTTAGAAAAATGTAAATAGGAACTAAATATTTTGTAGCTTTTTCTGAATTTTCACCTTATGCGAGGCCAAGATGGCGAAATCAACAAGTATGAGATCAAAATAGACACAATATGCAAGTTTTCCTATCTTATTTCCTTTCTTTTCACTTTATTATTATATTTTGTATTTATTTTTTATTTTTAAGAGAAAAAATGTCTGTATTTCTTTCTCTTAGAGAGAATGAGTTAGATAGATGGGGAGAGATGTCAACAATTTTGGATGAGTTTAATGTGTTTGCTCGATTGAGAAAAAGGTTAGGTGGATGAGCAAGTAACAGTGTGCAGGACCAACAACTATTTCGATAGTGTTTGACTATTGTGAGGATGAAATTGTTTGAGCAGAGGAGATAAAAGATGGGAGATGGGGTGTCGACTTGAGTTGCATATAGTTGAAGCTTGTTAAAAAGCAATTAACATTAATTTGAATAATTGAAGGACAAATTGTCGTAGTCCAACATTGGTCACAAAGAGTGCAATGAGAGAAGAGAGATCTCAAAATGGAGCATCCCGACTTGCAAGAGAGTTTGAAAGAGAGAGATAATTGATGGCAAATAAGCTCGATAGCAAGAAAGACTCGACGAATGAAGGAGCTAGAAAGAGTAAGAAATAGAATGTAAAAATGGAGTTTGTTCGATGGCAACGTAGGTGATAAGAATAAACTAGAAGCAGTTGAAGAAAATAAGACCGAGATTGGCTTTGGTTTTGGAGGTTAACAAGAAAGTGAGATGAGAGAAAAAGAGGGCCAGCAAAAATTGAAGAGGTTGTGAACAAAAGAGAAGATGATAGGCGGCAAGCTCACCTATAGTTTAGTCGACTTGAGGATTTTGAAGAAAGAATGGAATAGACAAAGCACAATTCAGGCGAATAAGAGAGAAAAGGGGTTGTGTGCAAAGAGCGAGAGAGGAGAATGGAGGGGATAGTGATACATAGAAAAGAGCAAAATAAATCTAGGCATGTAACCTATGGAAACAAGAGACAACATTTCAGTGTTTCTTAACGCCTGCATGGGGTCTTTTTTTTTTCTTTTTTTTCTTTTTTTTGAAAACAAAAAACAAGAAAACAAACAAAAAAAACAATTTGCTTGTCCGTTTTTTCATCTTTATTTTAAATTTGTTTTTAAAGACAAGAGGGTTGTTTTCAAAAAATAAAAAACATGTGACACGTGTTCTCTGCGTTTTGAAAACAGCCAAAACACGCTCAGCCCTAAATCCGAGCAAATCTCAATCCTCTTCCCTTCGATGTTAAGTTTGGGTACCAATTAATAAAATACTTAATTAAACTAATAATCATCTAATTAAATCATTAATTATTTAAATCGAACCTAAATGAATTTTAATTAACTCATAATTACTTAACTAACTTAATAATTAATCAATTAAACTCATTATAATTCAAATAAAATAGTAATAATTAAATTAAGTTAATAAAAATAAAATTAAAACCTTAAATTTTTTAAACAAATCATTACATATACAAATAATTAAATAAAACATTATACAATTACAAAACTAATTAATGAATTAAATAAATATTTAATTAAATTAATAATTATATAATTAAATCATTAACAAGTTAATTGGAAGCTAAATAAATTTATTTAACTCAATATTACTCAATTTAATAATAAATATACACAATTTACCTAATAATTAATCAATTAAACCTATAATAATTCAAATAAATATTAATCATTTAATTAAGTCAATGATAGTACAATTAAAACCTTAAATTATTTAAACATATCATAAAATATATAAAGACTTAAATAAAAAATTAAACAACTTAATAAAAATACTAAATAATGAATTAATTAATTATTTAATTAAATTAAAAATCATCTAATTACATCATTAATAATTTAAATGGGACCTAAATGAATTTAATTAACTCATAAATACTCAACTTAATAATAAATCTATTAATTAACATAATAATTAATCAATTAAATTCATAATAATTCAAATAAAATATTAATTATTCTATTAAATTAATAATAATAAAATTAAAACCTTAAATTATTTAAACATATCATTAAATATAAAAATAATTAAATAAAACATTACACAACTTAATTAAAATACAAATTAATTATTTATTTAATTATTTAATTAAATTAGATGAAATTTTGATTAATCCATAAAATTCTACAAAAAATTAATAACTAAATATTTTGATTAATAAAATAATTAATTAATTAATTTCAATAACTCACCAAAAAAATTAACTAACATGTTAAATAATTAAGTTAATTATGTTAGCAGTTATTACAATTTAATTAATTTTTTAAAAAGTATATTTTTGTCTTTTAAAAAAATAAAAATACCCAATTAAACATGTTTTATATTTTAAAAATATATATATAAATCATAACAATACTCTAAAAACAGAAAAAAGAAAACAAAACAAAAATAAAACAGATTGAATATAAAAACAAAAATAAAAGAGACTGAATATAAAAACAAAAAATAAAACAGAAAGTGAACCCAAATAGGGTCTTATACTTAATCTTTTTTTCAATGAGAGGGTATGACAAAAGATTGGGCAGAATGGGTGTTCAGTGCCACTACACTATCCTAGGTTTGCAGGTACTCAAGAATTTTAGGCAAAGATTATATTTTATCCCGTTTTAAATATAGTTCAATGAAAAAGATTTTAAGTTTAGTTCAATAATAATGATTTCTTTTATTTCTAACTATTATTATTTATGTATTTGATAAAATATATTTGAATTTGAAAACTTCAATCATTCTACTTATATTAGTATTGTGCTTGTGTATATATAGCTTTAATTTAATAATAATAGGATTAAATTTAGTTATAATATATAGTCGTTAACAACATAACAATAAATTTTTTAATAGAATTATTTAATCCAACAAAAAATTAGAATTTTTTTTGGTGATTTTAATTTAAAAATGTAAATTTTTTTCATAACATGCAAGACAATCCTGACAAATTTTCTATAGCTTTAACATAGCAACTTTGTATCAAGATTTTTCTTGTTTAAATTTTGCTTCATATTTTCTTCATTTAAAAATTCCAATTATGTGAGGGTTTGCCTCAAGCAATTTGATGATCTATTAGACTTAATGTGAACCAGTTGAGTTAACAAGCAACAATGTCATACTTATTATGGGTGAAATGTTGTGGACATATTTTTGTGAAATATTGCATTTGTTATTCTTTTTTTAACGTTGCATCTGACTGCTTTAACCCCTAATGAACAATGGCCAAGAAAAAGTGCTCATTCATTCTTGTCCTTAAGCAAACAATTTTAGATATAAATTGCAAACATAGAGTTAGCAAGTGTCATTTATAAAATAAGTAATGATGTTTAGATTTACTTTTAATCTCTTCAATTTTATCTAGAAATCCTATGTAAGTTAAAAATTTCAATATTAATACAGCATAATTATGCTTGGTGTCACTGTGCTAAATTAAACCATTAAGCTCCAGTTTCGTATAGATCAATACAATGAGTTAAACTAGAATATAAGAATATTAAACTAGATCAACTTTTTAGACTTGCTAAGCCACTTACAATTCTAGGCCAAATTTGCTTTATTTCATTTTTTTTATTGGATTAAAACTAATGAAAATAAGGATAATCTCAACCTTACCTTTGGGAATATGTTCCTCTACAAATAGAAAACTTGTACAGACTTTCAAATTGATTAATAAGTATAACAATTTCAAGAGGTCAGTTATCATTGTTTATTTCTTTCAACAAAGACTGACAAGAGTCATTTATAAAATAAGTATTAATGTTTAGATTTACTTTTAATCTCTTCAATTTTCTCTAGAAATCCTATGTAAGTTAAAAAATTTCAATATTAATACAGCATAATTATGCTTGGTGTCACTGTGCTAAATCAAACCATTAAGCTCCAGTTTCGCACAGATCAATACAATAAGTTAAACTAGAATATAAGAGTATTAAACTAGATCAACTTTTTAGACTTTCTAAGCCACTTACAATTCTAGGCCAAATTTGCTTTATTTCATTTTTTTTATTAGATTAAAACTACTGAAAATAAGGATAATCTCAACCTTACCTTTGGGACTATTTTCCTTTAAAAATAGAAAACTTGTACGGACTTTCAGATTGATTAATAAGTATAACAATTTCAAGAGGTCGGATATCAATGTTTATTTCTTTCAACAAAGACTAAAATTATGTATATCGATCGCTCCGACTTACATACATGGGCTTTCCTTCAGCTTCTTCTTTTTATCTTATTTGCGGAATTTTTTTTTAGATTAAACCATTGAATATAAGGATAATATCAACCTTATCTTTGGAATTATTTTCCATTGCAAATAGGATAGCTTATATGGACTTTCAAATTGATTAAAAAATAAACAATTTCAAGAGGTCAGTTATGATTGTTTATTTCTTTCAAACAAAAACTGAAATTATGTATGTAGATCGCTCCAAGTTACATACATGGACTTTCCTTTATCCTCCTCTTTCTATCTTATTTGCGGTAATTTTTTTTAGATTAAACTATTGAACATAAAGATAATATCCACCTTATCTTTGGGATTATTTTCCTTTACAAATAAGAATAACACTTATATGGACTTTCAAATTGATTTAAAAATAAACAATTTCAAGAGGTCAGTTATGATTGTTTATTTCTTCCAACAAAGACTGAAATTATGTATGTAGATCGCTCCAAGTTACATACATGTACTTTCTTTCATCTTCTTCTTCTCATCTTACTCCAAAATTTGCACAACCCTTTAATCTCCCTCCCCCCCCCCAAACATCTCTCCCTTCCTTCAAGTATAACTAGGCCACAATTTCATCTCTTACACTTTCTTAAGCTATTAAATGATAACATATACTTATAATAAAACGAGATATGATATAGAAGTTAGAACACAAAATATTTTTGTTAATAATAAGAATATTCATGATGATAAGAAATCGAATTGATTTTCATCAGAACAATAACAATATAAAGTTGTTAATCACAATATGGTGGAAGAAACCTTTTAGAAAATATTATCCTGTAATAGCTACAGTACATGAAGGAAACTTGTAGAAATTTATAACTTCGTTGAATTTCTAATTATTCAAAATCTAGAACTTTTCCACAGTTAGTAATGCATGATGGTGTAATTTATTTTTCCTCTTTTTTTTTTAATGTCAAGTTTATGAAAGAGCATAATGCTATTACATTCTACTCTAAAAGAACATACCCTCATAGGAGTTTCTACCGAAAGCCGTTCAAGTATGAAGTTCTCAACAAAACTGTCCGAATCCTCATATTCTTTTGCATCTAAAACCTGCTCCGTATGAGAGAACAGTAATGAGGCCTTTGAGTTCCAAGGCCGTCCAGAATTTATGCAGGCAACAAATGACGCAACATCCAGATGAAAGCATAAAAGATCGCACTGATACTCCACACAAGAGATCTGTCAAGATGAGTAAACAAAGTTGGTCAATTATGTCAATAAACAAAAGTTTGAGACTCTAGAAAAATATGAAAAGGACAGAAACTAAAATTACCTCATCCTTTTTTCCGTACAAAGGATATTCTTCCATCCTTAGAACCTGTGATTTACTAGTCCATAAAAGCTGCATTAGTTTTCTTCTAGCAGCAGTCCTGCCAGACAACAAGTCCCAACCTAATACAGCCACAAGAGGCTGAAGAAGGGGGAACAATGAAAGGACCTACAACAGATAACAGTCAGAAAGAAGAATAGTTGGCATAAAATAAACGCCATGTAGCAACTTAAAACGCTTGTGATGATATTAAAGTCGCTCCACAAGTGAAAACAAAATAGCTCCGTTTAGATTAAATGACAAACACACCACATACATCACTAGCCACTTGAAGCTGTCCTCTCTTTACAGCAGACAGAGCAGAATCCATAACACATTCAAGTATATGAACTCCAGATAGCCTGGCATAATGGTACAGGTCTGTCTTGCAAGATCTGATAGCTATGTTTTGATCAGCCTTGATATCACTTCCAGAAGAACTTAATGCCTTAAGTGTTTCCAGATACTTCTGGAGGGGAAGAGGCATCAAGCTACTATTTGATACCCTGTGCTTCTCAATTTCTTCCAGAAACAACTCGTCTTGAATTAACTGAAAGCAAAAATACACAATTGAAAATAAAGTTAACTGTGACAGCCAGCTTGTTAAAAAAGTGAGGTACACAATGACACAACCCTTGAGCTGGACTAACCATGAAACAAATAAACTATCTTAAAAAGCAAAGGACATTAACAATGAAACAAATAAACTATCTTAAAAAGCAAAGGACATTATAATGCCCATTTCCAGTAAATAATCGAGAAGCTTTTACCCTTTCAATGTCCTTCTGGAAGTTCAATAAGTTATACAGCAGTTCGAAGCATCAGAAAATGTGTATTTGCACATGGTGTGTATAATACAAGCATGCACAAAAGTATAGTGCTTAGTGAAAAACAAAAAATTGGTACGAGCAGTTTATTTGTAATAATAATGATGTGCCGCAAAATACAAAGCTCAGACCAAATCCCACAATATAGATTCAGTCGTGAACTTAGGTTAGGCACAGATCAAGCAACATGGAAAAATGTTATATACTGATTAAAAAATTTAACATAAAAATTTTACCATATTTCTAGTAACCATTCAATATTTTCTCTTTATTCTACAGTAAAGTGTATAATACATGCATGGAGAAATTGGAAAAATATAAAGTGATGTAAGAAGTCAAGAGAACAATTTGTGATGCAAAAAATTCTCCTTTTAATAATATTTATGATGGATTAGATACTTGATGTGTCATCAACAAATTTTTATCAAGCACAAATCTCAATGCATTTTCTTAGAAAGAGTCATTCAATTTAAAATTCAAGATCATCTAGGCCTCGATTTAAGAAAGTTTATAATCAAACTTACCGCCTCAACAAAACGAACATAATGATGTGAAAATTGGTTCAATTCAGATCCGATCAAACCAAGATCAAGTTGTTGATGTACAACTGAAGGTTGTGGATCATCAATTGACTTGTTAAATGAAACCCATATTTTGCATATTTATGATCAAATCGAGTGTCCCGACGAGAAAAATCCAAAGAGCCCAATAACTAAATTTTGATGTCATTAAGGCACTCAAATCCTTAAAAAACACCTATGATTGAGGGGGTGAGCAAACATTGTCCGATCAAGTGGTTAAGAAAGTTACGCGTCGAAAGACCAAAATGTCTCTCCCCAAAATGATATAAATAGACCTCCTCTCATCACCTGAGAAGAGAAGAGAAGAGAAGAAGAGAATAAGTGGAATTCCAAAGTCTCTTCTAAAGAGAAGACTCGACGAGTAGCCATAGGCCTCCAAAGCCACCAAACACTGCCGACCGCCACTCATCGGTCATCATCCGTCGGCTACCGTCGACTACCACCAATCGTCATCTTGTAATAAGCAGTTTTGTTAAATTGAGTAAAAAATTAACATTAAAATGTACTCAAATTTTTGGATCTCTCAGATTTCAATCGAATCAATTTTATAAAATTCTACGCGTCAAAATAATCAATTTGATATACAATACTATGTCTAAATTTCGAATGGTTTGAGAAATAGAAAAAATAAAAGTTATGAATTTAATTGATTTAATTTCCCTTAATTCTCCTGCGCTCTTACTACTCCCAACCAACCTACCCTCACGTTTTTTACCCTCAATATGTGTCGAATGGAGGAATCCTCTCTAGTCTTCGAACCCCTCTACCATCTCTCTATTTCATCCGCATTTTCCCATCTCCCACTCTTATTTATCCCTACGACAGACACGAGTAGGGCCAGATGGGCGGCCAATTGAATGTCACAGGCCATGAATCCGAATTATGGGACCAAATCAAAAGTTACAAAACTGATTTTAGCAACATTTGAGACTTTCATTTCCTTCCTCTTGCTTCCTTTTGAGATTTACCATAAATCATGCATCTTTTATGTTTCTGATAGCAGTCGGAGGCACGGATCTTGTGTCGAAAGTGGTTTGCGAGTTTTCGTAGGAGCCTTGGCACAAAATCAGCAAAGGGGAAGGAAAGATTGAGAAGATAGCATAAGGGAAGAAGAATTAGCAGCTTTGGAGAAGGGTTGGGTTATCAAAAAGCTGTTTAAGGTATGTTTTTGCAAATTAATTATATTTTTAGTTAAATCACTTTAGAAGCTAAGATATCCTGAATTCAAAAGTCATTTAATATTTCAGGCTGGTTACCTGAGGCTGCGAGTTCGAGGCAAGCGTGTGGAAGCTAGTCATACAGTGGCTCTACAAATTTCAGGCAAATAGTTCTATGTTAATTTAAGATGAATAATTTGATTAATAGAAATTGATTAAATCTTTAAGTTTAATATTACATTTTATAGATTATTAAGATCAACATTAAAGTTACTGCAACATCCAACTAATTACCGAAGATTAAGAATTTAATGTAGTAACCGAGATAAGTAATCACATTTCTAAATTTTAGTAATCTTCTTTATTTCAAAATATATGTTTGACTCCATGTATCTCCTAGATTAGTTAGATCTTTCATGATGTTTGAAAAAATAGAACTGTATGAGATGCATGATGTGTATGATATACATGATATACAAGATAGGCATGATAGGAAAGATCTGCATGATAAATACGATAGAAAGATAGATGCATAATATACGAGATATTCATAATACAAATGCATGATAAATAGTTGCACAACATAATAGAAATGCACGTTAGTAGATACATAAAGATGTCTCAGAATAATGTATGCTATGAAGAATAAAATGACTAACATAAAAATGCTTGTATGTGCATATTCAGAGAAGTTCAACCACTAACAATACAGGGAATGGATGCCAATGAACTCGCACATATAGAATTTTCTATCTCCCTAGATAATTGTAGTATTTAGTTAACTAACCACTGTATAGACGGGATAATATCGGTCAAGGGCGAGTAAACTAAAACTTACCTCCTCAAACAATTGTGATGTTTACATTGCTAATCACTATATCGATCAGAAAATATCGGTCAGGAGGCAGGTAAAGACCTTTCTACACTTAACAATTGTGATGTTTTCATCGCTAACTGTTGTGCCAACGGGAGCCGGCAGACAATATTGGTAAGAGTGTGTTAGATTTTATTGACGGTGATCCTCACAAAGACAGATGTATATGTAAAGAGAATAAAGTAAAGTAAAAAAAAAACATATATAAGACTTGAATATTTTAATTTAGAAAATGTTATTGAGACATGCATTATCATATATAAGATTTCTTAAATAAATAAGAAAGGCTGGCATGTTATAATATTTCTTATAAAGATATGAAGACCAGCATACATATTAAAATCTTTACTTTTGAGTTACTATGGTTTATGAGTGTGATTATTCCAGAGTTATCTTTAGATAACTCAATATATTATTTTAATAATTTTGTTAGGTTCTAAGCTTTTAAACAAGATGAATAGAAGAACAGATGTATATAGGAGGCGAGAACAACAACCAAAAAGTTATAAATTTCTACTTGTTAAAAGTGGCTTTTTCATGTATAATTGGATATTAAATTGTTAGTGGTAGAAGAGAGTAGCAGAGAATTTATTTTCATCATTCGACTGTCTGTTCCCATCTTGGTTAATTCTAAACCTCAGGTCGAATCGTGACAAAAGTGGTAGCATAGCAGAAGATTTGGATTAATAGCATGAATTATAATGAAAGAACAAATAAGATGATTGGATTAAGTTATGAATAATAGAAACTGAAAAGTTTAATCGAGTCTAATTAAATTATATGGTTGTTATTTCAGAATTATGGATGATTATTAGAAAGAGATCATAGATGATAATGTAGAATCTGATGTGCTTACCAGTAAATGTTGGTGTATTATGTGATATGATGAATGTTGTGACTCAACTGGTTAAAAATTCGCAATCTCAAACTAGTAACAGTGGAGAAGCACCAATGGATAAGTACTTGAGTCTCTTTCAAGATATGAGACCACCTTTGTTTTCTAGAGAAGGGTCAATGGAAGTTGAAAACTAGCTTTTGATAGTGGAGAAGATTATTAATGGGTTGTCATGTCCACTAGAGAGAAGAGTTGCCTTGGCCAATTTTGCTTTTAAAGTGAAAACTAAAATATGGTGGCAAGGTCAGATACAAGAGAAACTTGGAGACAGAAAAAGCCACTTGGTGTAGTGGAACAAGTTTGTGAGATCCTTCAGAGATTGGTTTATACCATTGTTTACCAGGAAACAGATGCAAGATAAATACATTAGTTTGGTGCGAGAAGATCAATTATTTATGTTGTATGAAGTGGAGTTTACTATGCTATCGAGATATACACCCCAACTCATTTCAAACGTAGAGAAGAAATGCCAGAGAGTTCTTTTTGACTAAAAGATTCAATCAGGCTGTCACTAGTGTCACTTGGGATTGAAAACTATTCCATGCTAGTGGAGAGGAATATGCGGGTGTAGGTTGATTTCCAGTAAACTCAGAAGCGTGGAGATTTGAGGAAGAGAAAAAGTTCAAAAGAAGTGACGCCAACAATTCACTCGGGAGAGGAAGAGTCTATTGGAAGGAAGATAAAGTCCTACATTGGTAGAGTTGTTAGACAGGCTGTCAATAGCACTATATAGCCCTATGTTAAGTGTGGAAAATAACATTGTTGTGAATGTTTTGTTTGGGATGAAAGGGCGTTACTTATGCAAACAGCATGGACATCAGAGGAGAAACTGCCCTAAGTCTGAGCAAAGATTCACATCAGATGTTAACCGAGGAAGACATCCAGCTCAAAGAAAGTTTAAAGAAAGATCTACTTCTAGAAGTGGTCAGCAGAGGATAATAGAAGGTGGCACGAAGACTCGTAGTGAACAATTAAGGCAAAACATTGACCCAAGGGTTTATTCCTTAACTCATCAGGAAGTAGAAGAGCATATTGCCACTAATGTTGACGCATGGAATTTGATGGATAAATTGTCTTTTCAATGTCGCGTTGGATTTATCAAATGTATAGTTTATCACATATGTTTTTAGTTACCACTTCACAGGAAATAAATTTTTGGAATCACTTAATATTTCATTCTCATAATATATATAGTTGATGTGGAGTTCATGAATTT